TTTCACGATGGTCAGCGCCTTTAGCTCAAAGTCTGCTAGCGCGAGTAACCACTGCGAGAACAAGTTGTGTGGTACTGTGATCACGGTCAAGCCTTTGCCGGACGACGCGGCCACCAGCCCTAGCACGGCATGCGTCTTCCCAACTCCAGGCGAGTCGCATAGGGTCCCAAACACGCGCCCCTCATACTCGAGCTTCATACAGCGGTGTATCATCGCGAGCTGATGCGACCAGAGCTCGCGCGAACACTTGGTCACCGCCTGTCGAACGCGCTCGGAGCTCGCCGTGAGTATCATCATGCCGTGGTTTAATTTCTACGTGTTCGGTGGGTGCCCTAAGTCGACGCACCATCTCTCCGCGGCGAGATTTGTTGTAAAGGCGGTGGCAATTCTTGGAACGGATTGCTTAGGTTTCGACAATCATTGGCAATGGATGGTCACGGTCTCGGTTGGATCTCGATCTTCATCGTCGAGAAGAGAGTGCTGTTCTCTCTGGGGAGAGGCAGGGATCTCTTCAACTTGTAAGGCTGGTTCTTTATGGCCGTACCCTCCCGAATATCAGACAATATCTGAGCTTCCTTCTTCTCGTCTATAGCGAGCAACGCAGTACCCCTTTTGGTGTTAGCTTCCGTAGCTTCGCCCTTTCGTTTTCTACCTCTTCTAGTATGACCTTCGCTCGTGATGGTCTCGAAAGCTTCCGTCGTGTCGTACTCGTCGTGACCTTCGAGGAAGGACTTTTGGCGATTCTCGAGGCCCAGATCCGGCTGATAGATGACGCCCACCTCTCTAGATCTCTGCACTGAAACGTTCGAGAGGGCGTCTGCCTCGGACTCGTGGACCAGCACGTCCATCCCCTCGCGGAACTCTTCTATGCTCTTCGGCCCCCCGAACAAGCGCAGCGAGTATCTGTCGCCCGCCGCCCTTATGCCGAAAGAGTCAGGTGAATTCCACAATGGGTAGGAGGCATCTTTCTTGATAACCTTGTTACGAAACAGCGTGAGTAGGGTACACGTCCTGTCTCTCTTGACGCTGTTTCGACTGAGATTGAAAGCCTTTGCACAGCCGAACGAGCAAAAGGTCCCCATGCATTGAAAGACGTTCCGCGCTTCGTCGTAGTGTACCGGCAGGGGTATCGGTATGGTGTCGAACTGGTGACAACACCACCAACACGCGGCGTCGCTTCTAAGGGGCCACGGAGAAGACATCTCGATATGCCTACGGTCGAGCTCAAATCGCTGCCTATATTGCGACAAAAATTTCCAAGACTCAATAGCAACAGCATGAACGTACCGTGGGAAGAGGTCTTCGTCCTGAACCTCCGGCGTTCCAGAGATAGATGGGCCGACATGCGCTCCAAGCTGGGTAAGATGGGCATGTCGGCGCGCCGGCTGGAGGGGGTGGACGGGTCCGAGATGTCGGTGGGGCTCGTCCGCCGCGACTCGACTGGCATGTGCGCGGCCTTCTGTACCCCCGCCACCATAGGGTGCTTCTTGTCGCACCGCAACGCCTGGAGGCAGATCGTGAAGAGAGACCTGAGTAGCGCCCTCATCCTGAAAGACGACGCCGAATTCGGGCCAGACTTTCGCGACGTCATCGAAGCAATAACGCTGGAGCTGCCGGACGACTTCGACATGCTGCTGTTGGGATGCTTTCAGTTCTGCAACCAGGACGACTCGGTCACGGCGTTCGAGACAGGATGGGCGACCGTCCTCTCTCGAGGTTGGCCAGATCGGGCGGTACAGTTCTCCGAGCACCTCAGCATTCCTGGATTCACCACGGGCCTCCACGCATACGTCCTGTCCAGGAAGGGAGCTGAGAAACTTCTGGACAGGTTCGAGAGAGCGAGCTTCCACGTAGATATAGCCCTGACGCTGGATAGGGGAGACATGCGAGTGTACTCTGCAAATCCGCCCATAGTGTTTCAAGACCAACGCGTCTCCGTATCGCAGATAGCAGCCAAGCCGCCCTATCTCTTGAACATACTGTTCGATCGCATCCCCATGAACGAACAGGGCACCACGTTCGCATACATGATGTCCGAGCCGGCCGGGCAGATACCGCTCATAGAGTATCCCATCAACGGACATGGCATCGCATTCTGCATAGTGTTCGCCATTCTCTACCATGCGTATCCGAGGGGACTCATGTTCCTGTTCGCATTGTTTGTCTTTGACATGTTGATGGACATACGCGAAGGAAGTAAGACGAGCAATTTCGTCCTGGTCAATCTGTGTGCTTGCTCGGCGGGTCTGATATGGAAGTTACGCAGAGCTTGATGTTCAACACGTTCGCATACATGATGCCCGAGCCGGCCGGGTAGATACCGCTCCTAGAGTATCCCATCAATGCAGATACCATCGCATTCTGCATCATGTTCTCCATTCGCTACCATGCGTAAAAATCACGGACGCTAAAAGGTGCTTTGCTCTCATGCAGTACATGGCTACGTCATTCTCACTCTGTAGATGATGAAAGAAGACTGGTCAATGTTATTGTGACGGATGGGCACTAATATTCTTGTTTTTACAACCCATTCTTCGTTATTCCTAAGACTTGAAGAAATTCTTCCTTCCAAAAGGGATACTGACCCTCCAATTTTTTGTACACAAAGAATCTATGCATCTGTGTTTTATTATGTTTGGTCGCCTGTTTGCCTATCGTT